TGTGAACCCGCGCCGCTCCACTTGTATCTCGCAGCTGTTAGAGCCGAGCGTCACAATGGCCACCTCCCTACAGCGCGTCGTGATGCTGTCTTGAACGCCTGTCGTGAGCTGGGGCTCACTTATGATGGCCTGCACGTGCAGGCTCTGGAAACTTTCGAGTATCGGGGCCATTGCGTGCAAACCACACACAAATGTTTGATGCGCCGCCGCTGCGGAGGCCCAAGTGTGGAGGGGCCTTTTGGCGGACTGCCGAGGCCCTGCTGAGAGGGCCTCAGCGCAGTCCTGGCGCATTGATGTTGCTCTAGCGGCTCTAGCGGGTCGCGAGGTCCGCTAGGTGGTGCAGGTTCTGGTGGCAGGCAGCGGCTGGTGTCGTCGTGCTGCTTGCCACCACGGCCTGTGCCCTAGTGGCCCTCGGCCTGTGTGGAGGGCTGCGGGCTGTGACACACGGGAATCCCGCGCCCTCCACATGATCCCCCTTGCCCGCCAGCCCTCATCCGAATCGGATGTTGCGCCTCGGCCTGATCCCTGACCCCCGATTCCCCTCCCCCCGCCCTCCCCCTCCCTCCCCCCCCTCCCCCTCCCTCCCCCTCCTCTCCCTCCTTACCTCCCCCTCTCGATCCCCCTCCGCCTCCAGCATCTCGCCGAAGAGCCGCTCGGCGCCCTCCACGTCGCCCGCGCGGGCGCGCGCGCCGAGCCGCCGGCCCCGCCCTCCGAGGGGGGGCCTCCTCCTCGCCCCCCCGCCGACCATTCTCGGCCACGCGGCCGCCCCGCGGCCGCCCATCCCCCGCCTCTGCCCTGCCCTCCGCCCCTGCCTTGGGGGGGGGGGGGGGGGCGAGAGGAGGAGCAGCGACGCGCCGCCGCTGGGAGCCCGCCCGCGAAGTGTACTGCCTCAGCCGCTGATTCGGCGATGCCGTGCCTGCTGGCGAGGAATCGGAGGCCGAAGAGCGGTATCGCACAACATGTGTTTGCCGTCGGGGACGCCTGTCCCAGGGCCCCAGGGCGGATGGAACGTCGCCGACCCGACGGTGGCACGTCAAGGTATACACTTTCCAGCCGCCCTGGGACATGTGCCCACAGCGAAGGAGACAATTATTTGATGCTGCTCTTCCTCAGAGAAGGTCTGGATCAAGAAGGGTGCTTTCGAGGGCTGGGGCGTCTCGGGTCGAGCTGGGGGGGGCCTCAGCTCTGGCTGGGGGGCCTCAGGCCAATACCGAAACCCACCCTTCTCAAACGAAGCCTCCGACATCGGCCCACAACCCGCTCGACCTCGCAGCCGCCTCTTGGTCTCGAGTTGGGGATCGACTACGAAACTCATGTACCCCAACATTGATTTCCTTGTCGGATCTACAAACACATTCGTGCAATGTTCACATATCTAAGAACATTGTATACGTTTGTCTCAGATTCGACAAACCCATGAATTTTCGGGTAAATCAATTATGCAGTCGATCCCCTACTCGAAGGTCGCCCCTCGCCATCGCTCCTTGCAGGCCCAAGAGCCCCCGCCGATCTCCGCTGCCAGCACTCCCTCGAGCGCCCTTTTTCTACGATTCGCCACCAGGGCCCTTACTGGCAACGCACCCTGCCTCGAGCGCGACCTCAGCGATTCCCCTCCGCCCCCCAACTGGTAACGTCGCGGTTCGTGCCGGCGCCGATTGTCTATGGCGAGGGGTAGGCAATTCCCAAGCCGCGCCGGCACGAATCGTAACGAACATTACCGGCCCCCTCGCCCCCGACCCCCCCGGCGGTAACGGCCGTTGTCGCGAGAGAACCCAGACTCCCAACGTCATGATTTTTGCATTACGTCCATCCCAGGAGGTCTCGACCCATTCCCCTGGACCGCTGTTTCATCCTAAATCATTTTTTGACGGTCTCGAGGGCCGGTACGGGCCCCCAGAGGACGAAAATAGCCAAAAATCTCCCGTCATGTTTTTTCAATACCCGAGGGGGTCTGGGAAGAAAGAAACATGCCCCTCTGGCCTTAAGCGGCTCGCGAACAAGGTGGTGTGGGGCGGGGGGGGCCTTTGTGAAGCCCTCCCGCACTCTGAGAAACCGCCTGCCTTCTTAAAAGGCCGCCCGCCCCCTTCCCGGCATCACCAACCATCCCGACCGAAATTGGGCCGAATTCGCCGGCACACTCGCCAAACACTTGCTAGAATCCCATGTAAGAATTTCAGCATCTTGTGAGCATGGACCGACCGTCCAGGCATTCCTGTAGGCCTACCACGACATGTTCTTATAACCGAAAAATGCACCAAAAACAAAACTTAAACCATAAACCCGATTTGTTGAAACAGGACAGTCTCAGCCAGAAATGCTCTAAGAAAATTTCGTGCATACCAATGAACTTGAAATTGTCAACTCCATTGCTCGCGCGATCATCCCACCCACCCACCCGCAACTTGGTTTGCAAAACCCATGCGGGACCGAGCACAGGATATCGCTCCGGGGTCGTCTTGGAGCCCTCGGGGGCGTCTCAAGAGCGCCCCAAGAAGGCTGGAGAAGCAAGACGGCCGACGACTCTTCGCCACTGCTTGACGGCTTGCCTATTTTGAAATATTCCCCCTGTAAAGAGATAGGCCCGACTTAACCCTACCCTCCGCGGCGGCGGGCGAGGCGCAAGCCGTGGCATCAGGGCCGTGCGCGACACCACGGTCGGGCTGGCGCCGCACCGCTCCAGGCCTCGGCGTGGCGGGGAGCGGAGAGCGAATGCGCAGAAGGGGCACGCGCCTCCTCCATCTCCTGCCTCCTCCAACTCCTCCTCCTCCTCCTCCTCCTCCTCCTCCTCCTCCTCCTCCTCCTCCTCCTCCTCCCTCCCTCCTCCCTCCCTCCTCCCTCTCCTCCCTCCTCCTCCTCCTCCTCCTCCTCCTCCTCCACCTCCCTCCTCCCTCCCCTCCCCTCCTCCCTCCTCCTCCTCACTCCTCCTCCTCCTCCCTCCCCCTCCTCCTCCTTCTCCTCTTCCTCCCCCCCCCTCCTCCTCCTCCCTCCTCCTCCTCCTCCTCCTCCTCCTCCCTTCTCCTCCTCCACCTCCTCCCTCCTCCTCCCCTCCTCCTTCCTCCTCCTCCTCCTCCTCCTCCTCCTCCTCCTCCTCCTCCTCCACCTCCTCCTCACTCTCCTCCTCACTCCTCCTCACTCCTCCCTCCTCCTCCTCCTCCTCTTCCTCCTCCTCCTCCTCCTCCTCAACCGACCCGCAAACGCAAAAACCACCCACACCGCCAGGCAAGTCCACTACCGGTAACCCCCAACCAAACGTCGGACATCGGACATCGGACCTGCAGCTGTCGCCGGCCAGGGCGTCGCAGGCGGGCGCCGTAGCGCCAGGTGTGTGAAACGTGTGAGAGAGCTGGAGAGAAATCAGCAGAAGGGCAAGACAATGCGCATATGTAAGCAACTTGAATGAACAGAAAAGGTAGCAAATGCACAACGAAAAGGTAACCTCCAACCAACCGTCAGAGCCCGGCAAGTCTCCGCAAGAACTCAACAGGCGGCCCCAGCCGTCAGCAGGCACCAGGCCACGTGCGTGGTCGGGTGCAGCCCACGGGCGTGTCCCCCTACAGGGCGATTCTGGACGAAGAATAACAAATCCGCCGATCCGGCGTGTGAGTTTCTGAGAGCGTGGGCTTGAGCTCGCTCAAGCTTCGCTCTGCGGGGGGGGGGACCTCATTCCCGACCTATCAGTGCTTTGCGGGGGGGGGACCTCATTTCCGACCTATTTCAGTGCTTCGCACCCCCCCCCCTCCAGAGCGGACCCCCCCCCTGCAGAGCGCCCTCCCCCCTCCCCTCCTGCAGCCCAGCCACCCCCCCCTGCAGAGCGGACCCCCCCCCTGCAGCCCCCCCCCCCCCCCCTGCAGAGCAGACCCTCCCCCCCCTCCCCTGCACCCCCTCCCCTGCAGAGCGGACCCCCCCCTGCAGAGCGGACCTCCCCCCTGCAGCACCCCCCCCTGCAGAGCGAACCCCCCCCCCCTCCTCTGCCCCCCCCCCCCTGCAGAGCAGACCCCCCTCTCCTGCACCCCCTCCCCCTGCAGAGCGGACCCCCCCCCCCCCTGTGCAGCCCAGCCCCCCCCTTCCCCTGCAGAGCGGCCCCCCCCCCGTGCAGCCCCGCCCCCCTGCAGAGCGGTCCCCCCCTCCCCTCCCCTGCACCCCCCCCTTGCAGAGCAGACCCCCCCTCCTGCAGCCCCCCCCTGCAGAGCGGACCCCCTCTCCCCTCCCTCTGCCGAGCGGACCCCCCCCCTGCAGAGCAGACCCCCCCCCTGCAACCCAGCTCCCCCCCCGTCGTCGTCGTCGTCGTCGTCGTCGTCGTCGTCGTCGTCGTCGTCGTCGTCGTCGTCGTCGTCGTCGTCGTCGTCGTCGTCGTCGTCGTCGTCGTCGTCGTCGTCGTCGTCGTCGTCGTCGTCGTCGTCGTCGTCGTCGTCGTCGTCGTCGTCGTCGTCGTCGTCGTCGTCGTCGTCGTCGTCGTCGTCGTCGTCGTCGCTCACGTCATCGTCGTCGTCGTCGTCGTCGTCGTGGTCGTTGTCGTCGTCATCGCCGTCGTCGTCGTCGTCGTCGTGGTCGTTGTCGTCGTCGCTCTCGTCGTCGTCGTCGTCGTCGTCGTCGTCGTCGTCGTCGTCGTGGTCGTTTTCGTCGTCGTTTTCGTCTTCCTCGTCGTCGTTCATTTCCACAGGCACCCGGAGCGCCCCGGATCGGCGGCACTGGCCGGAGGCCACTACAATATTCAAAACATACTCCACAATAGCCAGAAATAGTCGAAACATCGCCCTCTGATTTTTACTGTTTTTGAATATTCCTCCTGTAGAGGGACAGGCCCGACTTAAGAGTAGTATACAGCGTAGGCTCAACATCCTTGGGAGCGAAGCTGAATAAGAAAACACAGACGAGTCCAAGGCTATTGTTGGAACTTTGCTGGAACTTCAGCTGAAGGGCTGCTATCCCTCTGGGGTGGGATCGTTGCTTCCCCCAACCTCCCACCAAATTCAGCACCCACCCCCACGTGCACTCTATATCTCACGGCTCTTGCGCTCATTGAGACTCGGCAAGCGGCACAAGCTGTTCCATGTGCACCCCACCACGCTTGTGGTCTGGATGCAGCCCACGGCGCACGCGGCTGAGATTCGAGGCAAGTTGGGATGAATGCGGTCCATCCTTACAATCTTTGGCCACCCAGTCACTGACGGCCTCACAACGAACACATATGAAGAGTGTGGCCCCATCAGGGGTGCTGTCGTTAAAGGCTTAACGACTTCTGCCGTCCTTCGACTCGCGCTGGAGCGGCCGCGAAGTGCTCGAACTTTCCCTGGAGATCTCTGGATTTACCTGGATTTACCCAGATTTATCTAGATTTACCTGGATTTACCTCGATTTATCTGCATTAACCTAGATTTATCTGGCTCGATTCTCACAAGTCGATTGGCGAAAAGTCGACAAGCCCTAAGGGGTGCTGGTGAGGGAAATTCTATGCCCTGTCGGGTCTGCCGCGACACGGCCCTCAGCGTGGCAACCTGTGGCCAGCGCCTGAGGGTCGCAGTGGACCCCGACAAGACAAGCCATGCATGCCCACTCTCTCAGGATCCGCCGGAAGACGTGGCCGCGATGCGGCCGCCAGGCCAGCGTCGTCGGCGATCTTTCCGCGCAGATCCTCGACCGGGCTGTTGTCGCGCATGCTGTATAGTACCAATAGCCGGGCCTCGTCCTTCAAGAAGCCGCGGACGCGCACGAGCACCGCTCCAAGGGTTCGGGGAGACGCTGGCCGAACTCCCGAAACCCCAGCCAGGGCGGGGCCCGCCTGGCGCCCCTGGCAACTCCAGGCTGGAGGTCTCTCCGCCGGCGCCACCACCAGCGGCCGCGCCCTTTGGCTCCGGCGCCGCAATGCGACTAGCCACGGGGGTCATGACCGTGTTGGTGAAGCGCCCGTCCGCCGATACCTCCCCCGTCATCGGGAACGCGCCGACGCAGAAGGGGGACGCCTTTACACGCGGGGCTGGTGTCTGGGCAGGCGGCCCGCTCGGCTCCCCTCCGCCTCCGCGGAAATCCTTCGGCACCGCCTTGACGATCACGGAGCTCACAGCCGATGAGGTCGCCGACTCATTCACGTCGTCGGCGGCTCCACTTCGCAGACGACGCGTCGCCGTGACAATGCAGCCATCGTCGAGCCCCAGCGCAACGAGGCTCCCGCCTCCGTCGAGGAGCACGCCCGAACCCAGGCACAGCACCACGTCTGCGGGGGTCAGTGCGGGACCTGGACGCGTCTTTCGCCCGGAGGTGGGCCACTCCCGCCTGGAGGTCGACCTGCTCTATCACGAACCTCACCAGCGACTCAAGGAAGCTGCGGACATGGATGGCAGCGTGCTCGTCGACATTCGTCATGTGGCGGTCCTCGGTGTCGCTCTCGCTGAAGGACGACGCGATGGTCGTGCGCGCGCGGCTGGCCGCCCTGACGAGCCACTCCAGCTCGGCCCCCCCAGACGTCATGACTGTCGCGACACCGTCGAAACTTGCGCGCCGCAGCTGGAGCCGCCAGGGGGCGCTGTCAATCCAGCGCGTCAACCAGACTCTCTCGGGGGCCCCCAAACGGTGTGGTGACCACACCGTGCGGTGAGTCGGTGGGGGTTCGGGGTCACCGCACGGTTTTGGGACTCGAGGCCCTCTCCGAGGATGTCTCGGGCGACAAGGGCCTCCGAGGTCCCAAGACCGTGCGGTGACGGACCGTGCGGTGACGTCTTGGGGGATTTCGAGGTCACCGCACGCACGGATGCGTCACCGCACCGTTTCGGGACTGCAAACAGACGACGGAGTCCCCTCACAGTCCTGAAGTGCCAGCTGGCAGCTGAGGCTGACGCCCACCGTCGGGCGCCTGCGCCGGCGGAGTCGGCGCCCCAGAAGCAGCGGGCACGCGACCGCGGGCGCGGCCGAAGCCAAGAAGCACAGGGCGAGCAGGCGGGCAGCGGACCGCGCCCCTCTCGGAGGACGAGCCTGCACCAATCTCGCCAGGAAATCCAATCACGTGCTCGCACAAACATAACCTTTTGGAGGTCCGCGCAGAATTCCTGGATTGGCGCTGGACACCCCTCCCTGGTGCGCGGAGCGCGCCCATGGCGGCGCGGGAGGCGCCGCCGGGGGGGTCCAACGCAGATCCGATAAATCCGCGTGGAACTCCAACAGTGTATGCTTGTGTTTATGTAAGATCTTGATGCTCAGGGAGAAGAGAATGGAAGAAAGACTGGAGGCTGCGCCCGTGTCCTCACGGGTACGCGTTGACACCAGGGGCGCCGGTTAGCGTCGAAGTGTGAGAAATGCCCTGGCCGAAGGAGGAGAGGCATCGTGACGAGGGCGGCAGGAGGATAGAAGATACAGGGAGAGGGGCGGCAGTAATAAGAGAGAGAGGGAACGGTTCAGGGTCCAGACTGCCCGCACCTCTTCCTTCTTCTATCCTCCTCCTCCTCCTCCTCCTCCTCCACCTCCTACCACTCCTGAGCAACCTTCTCTCCTCTACCCTCAGTTTTCATCCTCCTTCTCGCCCTCCCCACCACCGCCCACTCTCCCCTCCTCCCCTCCCTGTCCAGTCCCCTCCCATCTCCCTTTTCTTCATTTCCACTCGAGCTCATTTTTGGCGGCGAGCGAAAACTGGCGTTCTGGGGGAAGGGAGGAGGAGGAGGAGGAGGAGGAGGAGGAGGAGGAGGAGGAGGAGGAGGAGGAGGACGGGGGGAACACCACGGAACGCCCCCCCTCCGCCGCGCGTTTCTGGCACCACCACAGTTTTTCCGCGCGCACGACAATGACGACGACGAGCGACGAGGACGACGAGGAGGAGGGCGAGGACGAGGACGAGGACGACGACAAGGACGAGGACGAGGACGAGGACTAACCACGACGACGCCGACGACGACGCCGACGACGACGACGACGGCGAGGACGACGACGAGGACGACGAGGACAACGACGAGGACGAGGACGACGACGACGAGGACGATGACGACGAGGACGACGACGACGACGTCGGCGAGCAACCACGACGACGAGCACGACGACAGCGACGACGGCGAGCGACGCCCGGAGGTCTCGCTGCGGAGGCCCCTGGAGGTCTCCAGAACCCTCTGGAGGCCTCCAGAAGCTTCCAGAGGTCCTCCGAAGTCTTCTGGAGGCCCTCGAAGGGCGTCGACGGCGATCGACGACGACGGGCAGCGGCGAGCGACGACGACGACGACGAGCGACGAGGACGACGGCGAGCGATCACGACAGCGACGAGGACGACGACGGCGACGGCGACGAGCGACGCCTGGAGGTCTCGCAAAGGCTCCGAAGACTTCTAAGGGCCCTCGAAGGCATTCCACGGCGGAGACCGACGGCGAGCGACGGCGAGCGACGAGCGACGAGCGACGACGAGGACGACGCCGACGCCGACGCCGACGCCGACGCCGACGACGACGACGACGACGACGAGGACGACGAGGACGAGCGACGACGACGGCGACAAGCGACGCCTGGAGGCCTCCGAAGGCCTCTGGAGGCCTCTGGGAAAGAAACCCTTCGGAGGTCCTCCGAAGGCCTTCGGAGGCCTTCGGAGGTCCTCGAAGGCCTGCGAAGGCGACGATCGACGGCGAGCGACAACGGGCGACGAGAACGACTACGAGCGACGAGCACGAGCACGAGGACGGCGACGAAAAACGACGAGGACGGCGACGAGCACGAGGATGGCGAGCATATGGCTACAAAGGCAACGCTGCCACCAGGCGGCGTATGAGAGGTACGCACCTTGCCTCCCTCCTTCCTCGTCCTCGTCGACGTCCTTCTTCTCCTCTTGCTCTTTCCCCTACGGGCATCACAAATGCCTGAGAGAACAGCTACCCGACCGCGACGACCGAATGGCGAGGGACGCGAGGCCACAGCTGCTGTGCAAACAGCTGCGGGCACCACGCGCATGCACAACAGGATGCTGGACCCTGTTGGGACCACCGTGGCCCGTGAGAGGTGCGACATGCGAGTGCCACAACAACCTTTGAGAACTACACTGCGGATATGCACGCTGGTGCACGCATGCCCTCATGTGAGGCCTCTGAATCGAATAGCCGCGGAGGAAAAATACTGCCGCTGTTGTTGCCGGTGCCCTCCCGCCTGTGCCAACCAAAGCGATCCTACAACCATCTTGCCAGAGGCACACTTCAGAACGCGCATCACAACGGGGGTGGACTCATCCTTATAAACGTTTTCTTACTCGGCGTCCCAGAATCTGGCGGAAGGGAAAGGGAGGGGGGGGGTCTGGCTCCGGACCTCTGCTTAGTGCGGCTGGTTGCAACAGCGCGTCCTACGGGGGAGACTCCACCTGCCTGAAACAGGCGCCAAAAACAGCCAAGACCTGGTCCGTGGGGGGGACGATCGGCACAACGATGAATAGGAAAACGATCACCTGCCCTCCTCGCGCTGCCGAGATGTTTCCCCCCCGCACCCCCCCCCACCCTCCCAAAAAACTGCCACGAAAGAGCACCGGTCCCGAGGGCGACGGGCCCTGGACCCTGGCCCCCCCCCCCAGTGCCGGCTCCCCTGGTCCTGGGCGGTCTCTCGACGCCCCTCTGGGGACCAGGGGGGAGCGGACTCCTGCGAGGCCAAAGGCGGCAAGAAGCCGCTTCCCTCAGGACCACTCTCCTCCAGGGCCCGAAAAACCTCCGCCGGGAGCTTCCCTCAAGACCATTCTCCTCCCTGGCCCCAAAAACCTCCGCCGGATGTTGACTGTGCAACCCGCGGTGGGGGATCTACGGATCCGGGCAGATCCAGACCCGGGCCAGTCAGGCCTCTTGCAAGATTCTGCCAAATCCTGCAGGATCCTACACCCTAGCCCAGGTCCGTGCAGCCCTGGCTCTGCAGGATCCTGCATGCTCTGGCGCTCTGACTGGCCCCCGTTTGCATTGACCCCCACCTCTTGAGGCCCGACGCGGTCCCCGGGGCCTCGACCCGCTCCTCTGGGACAACCAATAGGTCGCCTAGCTTCACGCCCTCGCGCCCCGCGATACGCGATTATACTCGCGCCCTCGCGCCCCCGGCCGACCTCCTGGAGAGCGGCAGCCGCTCTGGTCCAGACCGCGATTCGCGAAGCGCGCCTGCACGCCGGTCGGAAGAAGTAGGTGAACACAAAAAGAAGAAAGGCGGATATCCGCCGATCTGGCGTGTGAGTTTCAGAAGTCTGAGCTGAAGCTCTGCTTCAGCATGAGCTTTAGCTCTGCTTGGGAGGGGTGGAAAAGGGGGGGGGGGGCCTCATTAAGTGTCGAATTCAGTGCTCGGCACCTCGCCCCCCTGCCAGCCCCCCACCCCCTCGATTTCGGCACCCCCCCCTCCCCCCCCGCGGAGTTTTGCTCTGCAAGGGTGAGGGCAGGAGAGGGGGGCGGGGCGCTCTGCCAGGGTGGGGGCTGCAAAGGGGGGGGGGCGTCTCAGGCGGGAGCGGGAGCTGCAGGGAAAGGCGGGAGGGTCCGCTTTGCAGA